TCTGAAAGTTAATAGACCACTTAGAAATAAAACATAATTTCTAGACTAAAATGAAATCAAGGTGATAGTTAATAGACTAAAAATTGAATTAAGCCATTTAGAAATTATGCAAATACAAGTGCTAAATGTTGTGCAAATGTAATATGTTTGGACGTTTGCCATATGTCATTGCCTCCACAAATAGACTTGATAGTTGTATTGCATTATAAAAATTTCTGAAAATTGACATGTAAACCCGAAATTCTATTTTATGCAAGTAAGTTTTGACAATTCAGAATAAAAACTTACGAATTGCTCAATTAAAGGCAGGGTCATTGCATGCATTCCACCCAAAAATACACTATTCATCATTTTCAATTCAATTAGTAACAAGAGTGTACTTGGTTTCATGTGAAAAAAATATACAATATTTATAATAATTTTTTTACCTTTTTTATATATAAAATCATAAGATCTTATTGTATTGAAATTTATTGCTTCCCAGATCATCCCTCAATTGGAGAAACTATCATTAGCAAGACAAGACATTGCAATGATATGTGAACATAAGTCTAAACAAGACATTGTTTTCAAAATCAAAGTTCTTCAAATTCAGGACTAGCTTGATGATGAATTAGATGTTTTACCTATTGGATTCCTAAAAAGGTTCTGCCATCTCGAAAATCTTGTTGTGAGATATTGTAATTTTAAAGAGTTGTTCCCTTCAAAAGGAGAAGTTGAAGAGCAAGAGAAATATGTTGAGATTGGGATGCTCCCAAGAATTAAAACATTAAATTTGGAGCGTCTTCCATATCTCAGGCATATATGGAGTCATAACTCATCAAGTGTTCTTCAAAATCTTGAAACTCTTGCGATATTCAGATGTGATAATTTGATTATACTATCAACTTCAATTTCAAATTTCCAGAATCTCACCACTTTGAGTGTATCAAGTTGCAAAGGGATGATAAATTTGGCTTCTATCTCAACAGCGCAAAGTCTGGTACAACTAAAAAGAATGACTGTATCAGGGCGCCACATGCTGACTGAAATAGTTGGAAATGAAGGAAATGGAACACAAGGTTTGATCATGATCACTTTTACTAAATTAAAATTTTTGAGACTTCAACACTTGCCAAGACTAGAAAGCTTTTGTTCAGAAAATTTCACCGTCAAATTCCCATGTTTAGAAGAGGTAATTGTAAATTAGTGCCCCAAGTTGAAATTCTTCAGTGAGGGAGACCTAAATATACCATTGCTACAGAGAGTATTAGTTGAAGGAGAGGACAAGTGGCATTGGGAAGCTAATCTTAATACCATCATACAAAGAATGTACATGGAAGAGGTATGAATTGATTTTCTAAATATTTGAAGTCACTCATTCTTTTTATAAAAAATTGTTTGATTTATTTTTGGATTGTGTTATATAGAACTAGCCTTGTTTTGCACTTGCGTAGGTTGGATTTGTTGGGTTACAACTTTTGACACTATCAAACTTTCCTAAGTTTATTGAAATATGGCATATCAAAAATCCTCAAGAACTCCTAGATTTTAGACAACTTCAACTACTGGAAATTTGTAATTGTAGCAAGTTCAGGTACCTCCTAACCCATTCCATGGTTATGTGCCTCGTGCAACTCTTGCGGTTAATAGTAAAAAACTGTGGGACAATGGAACAAGTGATAATGGGAGAGGAAGCAGAAAATAAAATGGAATTCCCACATCTTTGGTTGATCAATGTAGAGTCTTGTTCAGATTTGACAAGTTTCTATGTGGGAAGTCATAGGCTTGAGCTTCCAGGATTAAATGATTTTATCGTAAAAGACTACCCAAAGATGGTCACATTTGCTACTTCTACATCCTCTGAAGAGCACGACAAAGAGGAATTCCAATGCCTCTTTAGCAGCAAGGTCAATTTCTTTTCTTCTTTTCCTTTTTGTTTATTTTTATAGCAGCATGGTTAGTTTTTTATATTTATTTATTGTAATTAAGATTTTACAGCATACTTATCTTTGCTTTTCGCATATCGGTTTTACTGTCTCCACTTGTTTAGCCTCATGAATGAATTTTCTTAAACAAGTTTCTATTAATATATGATTAGAAAATAAAGACTCTTAACAAGTATATCACCACTTAAAATGTGAAGTTACACAAGTTTAAAAATATAATTACTGATCCAAATCACTTTTTTTTTTTTGCCCTACATTGACCCATCAATGTGCTTCACATAAAGGCATGTTGTTTTCTTTTTTATTCTGATCAGCCATGTTGTTTTCATGTTCTTGGTTTGGGATTATCCTTGAATGTTTTTAGTTTCTAATCAATAAAAAAAAAAAAAAAACTTTTTGATAAAGATTCTATTAGATTGACTTTTTCAACTTGAAGTTTTTAAATTTCTTCAATTAACTTTAAGCAAATATGATAGAGTCATCTTCATACAATGTCTTGTATTAAAAAACTAACCAAGAATCTTTGCAGGTAGAGACTTCTTCCTTGGAGTTTTTGACTCTATCTTTAAATAATATTCAGCTAATTTTGGACAACTCAATTCCAAAAATCTCTTCTTATGTCCAAAATTTTAGAAAGTTTTGTGTGGAGAGTTGTGGTAATTTGAAAAATCTATTGACATCCTCCATGGTTCAGAGTTTCGAGCAACTGAATTGGCTTGAGATTTGTGATTGTAATATGATGGAAGAGATAATATTTGTAAAAGAATCAATGGATGAGGAAAGGATGTGCAAGATTTTCTTCCCTAACTTGGAGTTCCTACTACTCCGAAACCTTCCAAAACTCACAAGATTTTGTTCTGGAAATTACTTGGAATTACCATGCCTTTGGAAACTTAAGATAAGCAAGTGCCCTATGCTGAAGACTTTCATCTCTAGCTTTATTTTTGGAGATATGATAGCCAGTTTTGAAAATGTTAAAAACGATTGTACACTTTCTCTCTTTGACGCAAAGGTGAATTCTCCTTTTTTACCCCTTATTTTTTTTACCTTTTAATGTCTAATAATGCTATTATTACTTTCTTATCGTCAAAAAGTTTTACATTTTTAAAAAAAAAATTAGATCACAATATTTTTCATTCCATTACATCTATGATTGTGTCTAATTTTAATTGAATCGTGTAAATTTTTAGGTGGTATTCCCCAAATTAGAGCTATTGGTAATTGAACATGTGAAGAGCTTGAATAAGATATGGAACGACCAACTCGAGGTATATTCTTTTTACCAACTAACTTTGGTGAGTGTGGTTTCATGTGAAAAGCTATTGAATATTTTCCCATTTAGTATGTTGGGAAGGCTTCAGAGACTAGACAAGCTCCAAGTATGGAACTATGATTCACTTGAAGAGATACTTGAGTCTAAAGAACCTAGTGTTAGCCAATCACAAGCTCAAAAGCCCACTCCGTTACCTTTGTTGGAAACTGTCACATGCTTGGAGGATGATGTGAAGGATGAGATTGTCTTTAGCAAACTCAAGTATTTGCAACTTTGTGGTCTTCCTAGACTTTCAAGCTTTTGCTCCGTTAAATGCAAGTTTGAGTTCCCATTTTTGGAAGAGGTGATTTTGATGGATTGTTCAAGTATGCAGACTTTCTCTATGGATGAAATAAGAACGCCAGAACTACAAAAAGTAAAATTGACTAGAGATGAAGATGAGGGCTTTTGGGATGGCAACCTAAACTGGAACATACAACTACATTTCATGCAAAAGGTATGCATTAATTCAAAAGATCTCCTTATGTTTTTCTTCTTTTAAATTCTATCTATTACTCTTTTTGTTTATTACACAAAATCTTCATTTAGAGTCTTTAAAATAACAAGAAAAACTAGAAAGGTATATATGAATGCTTGATGGATCATGCTTTTGGAAAGGAAAATTTTTGCTATAATTTTTCTTTCACCTTTAGTATTGTGTTGTTTTTATGTATGTAGAGTCAAGGTGATTCTGAAAATTGAGATCAAAGAAATTGCAGCTCATGTCCTTTCCAAGTGATTTTTTATGGTGAGTTGGTCTTATGCTTCTATCATCTCTATACTTGTTTGATAAGGGTACATCTCTTGTAAACATGCATGGAGGTATATTGAGGCTGCTTTCTTAGTTCGTTGCAGCTCTGAATGGTGTACACGTAAGTTGGATGTGCAGTTGTCACATTGCTTGGTGCCCAGAATGTTGCCTCACTAACTAAAATTGATCCCTTTTTTCTACCAAAAAAGAGGAATAAAAAAAAAAAGGGGGAAGACAGATCTTTTCTATTTCTCGTACACTTGTGCAACTTATATTATGTATTATCAAATTCATGCAAAGCCTTTAAATGCATGCGCTGTTTTATAGTATTAAAGAGAGAATATCCTTCTAGAAAACAAATGTTGCTTTCTTATATTTACTTGTATGATAAAAGTACATTTCTTATACATATGGAACTATATATATTGAGTGGTTGCTTTTTTAATTCCTATCAAGTCTGGATGGTGCACTCATAAGTCATAAGTTGGATAGGGACCTTGCGAAGCTACCATATTGCTTGGCAGCAATATTAAACTGTCTATTGTTTATCGTGTTTTAATGAGAGAGAATATTCAAAAGACAAATATTACTTAATGATTATCAATTGGGTTCTACTGTACTTCGGTTATAATTAGATTATGGTTTGCTCATTTTGATGGGTTTGCTATTTTCTTTCTTTTACACACAAGACAAACCATAATTTTAAATATAAATTTTAGCTTTCACATGCACAACAGATTTTGGTGCCTCATAGGTTTTCTTCTCTTTTGTGATACCTAGATCCTTTGGAGATTCACATTTTTTTCCTTCATGTGTGATAATAGGCTACACAAGATGTGACAGCATTGGAGATGTGCCTTTGCATACTTAGAGCACACTGCCTTCCTTACAGATTACTCTTTAAGTAGTGCTTTTTATCAATAGATGAACTTATACTCCTTGCAGTTTCCCATTTAACTTTTGGATGTAATTTAATCTAATGCTTTTTACACAGCAAATGATTGAGAATTACAAAAAAATTTTCTTTTCATACATAATTCTTTCAGGCACATCAATTCACACCCAATCATGCATGATTACCATCAGATAGACAGAATCTAGATATAATTGTGTGAATCATGTTTCCAGCATCCTCAAATTTCTTGCCAACTTAACATCAAGACGTCAAAGCAGAAAATAAATTTCAACCTCATTATATTAGTTCTCCTTTTAAATACTTAACTGAAAAATTGCGGACATGGAAATTGGAATAGTAAAATCAAGCAGACTTACATCTCCAATGATATTGAATACCGAACACAAATCACCAAGTAACAAATACCCCTCTTAACCATCAGCTATATGGTCTAGTGATAGAATTACTTATGCTCTTAATCACAAGTTTTGGGTTCAATCCCTAATATAACAACAAATATCTATCACTTTGTTTTGAGGTCAAGATCAAGATTCAAATCCAGGCAATAACTAACAAGTCATAATATAATAAGGTACCAAAGGAATGCCATCCCTTCATCAGCTCATCATAATCAAACAGTAGTCAAGATATTTTAGAATTTAGATGAGATTAAAAAAAACCAGGGTTTTTTTATGTGAAGAAAGACCGCATTAAAATCTACAGTACAGGTGTTTGCTACACCCCTATGCCTTAAGCATGGTTGGTTCTGGGTCTATTCAAGATTTACAGCCATTTCTCTATACTGTATTCCAATAATAAGGGAAATATACTAGAAATAGATGATAGCACTCAAAAATGCTGAGTAAGATTCTTACCCTCGTAAGGATTAGAGAAAAAGAGGAAAGAAAGAAGGATGTAGCTTCAGGTGATAAAGAGTTTATTGCCAGAATCATAGAGAATTGTAGCTCACATCCTCAAATATATTTGATACGACTGTCCCTGGCTTTTATCATATATTCAACTTCTTGGACTCAAATACTAGCTAGAGTTCAGCATTAAATTTGAAAAGAATGGTAAAAGACTCAAGTTGGCACATTTTACAATAATAGAAAACAAATATTACATTATATTACCAATTTAATAAGTTAAAAAATGATCACAAAACAAAACTAATAATATATTGTTAAACAAGCATGGGATATTGTTAAACAAGTACCTGTGGCGATCATGATCCCTGGAGCGTTCCCTAGACCTTGAATGTGACCTGTGGTGACTTCTAGAATCATAAGTCTGAAAGCACTCATAATTCCTAGCATGACCTCGATCACTATACCTCTCACGATCTCTGCTCCTATGATCATAATCCCTCCCTTGGTCACGGCTATTCCCCCGGTCTCGGTCCCAACTTGATTCTCTCTCATGATCTCTACTTCTTTCTTTCGATCCATACACCACCAATAAAAAGGAGATCACAACACCCCCTCACCACCCAACCGTTTACCAAAAGGACAATGGAAAAGAAAACACATGAGGATTACCTCCTGTCATCATACCGATCAAGTTTGCAGCTCTTGTTTATCTCTTCTTGAGAAAACAATAATCACCAAATACTACTGAATGCTTCTTTCAAAAAGCTAAACGCCACTTCAATTTAGCTAAATATAACATGCCATAAGGACCATTAGGAAAGAATTCTAATGGTGGTAGGCATAACTGGTAGGCAACTTACCCTGACCAAACCAGGCCTTCATCAGATTTATTGTCACAGATTTTAAACATATGAAAAGCTCATTTTTTTTCTCACATTACTTACAACAAACTCGTTTCTTGTACTTCTCTCCTATTTGATTTCATGTTTCCTTTTTCTTTCATTCTTTCACCAGAAAAAACTAATCTATCAAAATTGGTTGAGCACTTCATATTTGATACATTTTAAGCCCAATATGCACAGACAAGGTAGAAAATACTATGTTTTAAAGTCCAGCATCTACAAACAATCAAAAGAAATTGAAAAAAAGGGAGATATTATTCTTCTCTGAGGTCAGAAAAACTCACAGATGATACTAACTGAGAATCTCTATTGAAGAATGAGAAACATTATACTAGCCCCTAACCAACATATTCACAATACAAACTTAAGGGTATCTGGAAAAGATGTATTAATTTGTTGTTTTACTAGAATCCATTAGGTAACAGCATTCAAATAAAGTTGTGATTATTTAAAAAAATAATAATAATAGACATAGTAAGTGGATTGTTCAGACAATTTATACAACCAACATCTTGGATGCCAGGCACTATCCCTAGCCTAATGTAACACTTAAAGCAGAGCCACCATAGAAAGTCGCATATACTAAGCATGTAAATCATCTTACCTGAAGTTCTGCTTATTTATCACAGATTTGCATATAGCCTAAATAAAGTTTGCCTCCAAAATGATCTGCTAAACATTGATCACTGAAAGGAACAAGAAAAATCAAATCACTTTGACCAAGAAACTTCAAAATTGAATATATATATATATATATATTGCAGTATTATGCATTATAGATTATACAGTTTCCCAAATATTTATTATCTAACAATTGCATGATCTACAAGTACACAAATAGAAAAAGACGCACAATATGTAGCTGCAAAAGTCATCCTTGTAAAACTGGGCCCAAAAGCCTGCTGGTGACAAGGAGGTGTAATAGCTGGGTCAAAAGCTGAAGCACTTGAAACCCCAAACACTAAATTTTTGAAGCCCTTAGAAAGAAGATAAAAGGCTATCATCAAGAAGTAGAAGATAAAAAATGTACCTATCAAAAGAACTCAAAAATGCTCCACGAATATCACAAACATGTAGCTTTTGATCAGTCTGAAACAAAATTGGATCAAAAAGATTAGAGCAGATAGAATATTAACATATAAATGAACTAAAAGAAAATTGAACTAAAATCAAATTATGACAGGGGACTGCTCATGCATTAATTATGCAAATCAAATTCATAGTTTCCCAATAAGGTCCAAGTGTGTCTAAGTTTTCTTATCTAGTTTTTATCATAGTTTTCCTTCTGTGAAACTGAAAGAAAGAAAAACAGAACTCACAATGCGAACATCAGCAGCAATATACTTTGAGGAATCCAGAACAGGCTCCTGTCAGGCAGAGAGCTGAACATATATGGAAAACAATTATCCATAAATAAGGCATACCAAGGAGAAGGAAATGGTGCAAGTTAATAAAAATCAATCTACAGAAATAACACTACTAAATTCTCAAATAGAAACCTTCTTGAGTGCTTCAGCCTCTTCTAATGCTTTTTGTGCCTCGTCTACCATCTCCTTCTCACCTAAACAACAATAAGAGAGCAAGAGAGACTATTAATAAAACATTGATAAGTACATCATGTATTCTTGAAAACTCTGTACAACACAGTTCAATGCCTTTCTGTGTATTTTAAATGAAACCATCCTAAAGGCATTGTTAACGCAAAGCACTGAGTGTTAATTGAAAAAACAGTAAAGCACCGAGTCTTTATCAACCATTGACAAATGTTTTGGAATGGCAGGGAAAACAAATTTTCTGACATTGACATTTTTTTATAGGAAAAAAGCTAAAGCACAAACAGGAAGTCACATAAATTGGCGTGATAAATACCTCAGAAACAACTTAAGGATTACTGCTATTCCATTTCTAGGAATTTAATTATTTAAGACATGCTACGTAATAGATATCTATTGTCAAGAACTCAGGATGTTTATGTTATTTAACACATGCTACTTGATGTCTATCGTCAAGAACTCAAGATGTTTTTCTCCTTGCTTTACATACATAAAAAACGGAGTTCAGGTAACCTGAGTCTTACCAAGATCCTCAGCTTTCTTCAGCTTCTCATTTATCTTTTCCTGGGTCCGAGGATCAGGTGCAGGCACAGGCAGTGGTGCCAAAGATGGAGGGTTGGGCAATGGTTGGGGCAAAGATGCCCGATCTTTATTGAATGCATCCAAAAGCAGCGTTGACTATAACAATAAACAGAAGCATCATATATACCAAGAGACTAAATGTTATACAAGAATCAAATTATGACGAACTTAATACACTGTCAATATCAGAAATTCTGATATGAATAAGTCAATACTTCCAGAGACCCATTTCAAATCCTACATCTAAAGAAGCTATCAAGTACCTGTTTATCTGCTCTTTTAGTTCTAACTCTTCTACTTCTTCTAGAGCTCATATTTTAAGAACTATCTTGCCTTCAAGATCTGCAAATCAAAAAGATATCATGTACACCCCAAAGCTAATCATAAAATTTACACAATTTATCCACAGTAAATATTAAGACAAAGTACAAAGAAAATATTATGCAACATAATTGTTGTGTGTACAGAATTTAGCACTTCAAAAAAAAAAACTTGTAAAAAGGCTTCAAAAATCACACACGATATGGCCTACTGGGAAGTCATCAAGTCAAGCAATGTAATATTACGGATTTGATATAAATCACCAAAAACCAATCATATATTAAACTCCCAAACCAATCATTTGTTAAATTCCCTAACAAGAGAAATTTCTCTAGAATTCTCAAAAACTCGTTTACAAAGGCCACAACAAAAGTGAGACTGTGACACATCATTACTTTGTCATGCTAATCTGCCATTTAAAGGCATACCAAATGATGTGAATGGTTGACCATTCTTTGGTACTATTGCTCAGGTCCTCCAGAATATGTGAGGAGACATAGCCTTTGGCTGAATTCAACCATGTTGATTTAATCTTAACTATTCAAACATATCAACCAGACAAATGGATATTCTGAGGCAGTCTCCTCACTCTAAAAATACTGATTGAATCATTTAATTATTCTTTTTTATAACAAATTAAACACCTTAGGGTTGAAATAATGGGGAATGCAGTCAAACTCCAACTATGGTCATCCCCCTGTACCATATAACCAAAATCTTAAAATTTATGGAATCTATTGAACCTACAAACAAAAACCTCACAACAATTGTTATAAATTTGGACATCACCCTGAATCAATTAATTCAAAGAAGAATAACCAAGTTAAATCAAAGAAAACAAATCAAGTACTTATCATCAATTGGCCAGGCAGAAAACACCTC